GTATGTGACATCTCATTCAAAATTTTATAGGCAGGCAGACAGTGTTCAATTCAATAACTGAAATTAACTTATTATCTTGAATAAATTGATATATTTTATGGCGGTGATAAAAAAAAAAACAAAAAAACAAAAAGAAAAAAAAAAAAAAACTATAAAGACTGGCGCTCTGCCCTCGTTCTCGCCAAGAATGCCCCTACATACATTAGGTGCAAAAGAAGTATTTTTGACCGAAAAAAAAAAAAAATTAGGTGTTGTTTGATAAAACTAAAAATTAAGTACGAAAATTGTGAGTTATGTGTAGCAGAATGATTGTGGAATATAATATAGATAGATAATCTAGAGAGGTGATGAATAGATTTAACTTTCTCTTTTTTTCAATTTTTATTTATTTTAATTTTACTCAAAAAAAACTAAAATAAAACCCCTAAAGCAAAAATAAAGTGCAAATAAAGTAAATAAAGTTTGAGAGATGGTATCAGGATTTTTAGCGAGGAAACCTCAATTGGTAGAATAGACCAATTGTAATAAGAAAAATCTCATGGAATGAGCAGTCTAGAGAACGATCCATTATATTTGAAGTAAAGTACAATGAACTTTGATTTAGACTCACACTATATCGTTCTACCAAAAACCAATCACTGAAATACCTGGCTTTGCAACTCCCCCGTCCAACAGCTCTTGACCTCAGGCTTACTCTTAATTTCTGTAGAAGAGTTGTACGTATGTAGATCAAACAACACTCCACGAATGCTTTGACCCCTTCAAAGTGTGATCGCTTCACCCTTTTTCTTCAAGATCTGAATTTGATAAAGAATAAATGAAATCTGCTTTTCAGAATTTCTGAATCTGTAATGACCCGGTCATTTTGCTTCCTTTCCTTTTTCTCAAATTTTACGGATATTTTTTTTCTTTAATTTTTCTTTTCCAAGTTCGGTTTCTCGTCACTTAGTGTGGTCTCGAGTGCTCAGGAATGGTTTCCGAAACTCCTTCCTTTGGATTGAAAACTTCCTTGTGAGGACCACGTCATTTCCACATTTTCTTTTTTGACATTATTCACTTTTTGTCTTTTTCTCCATTTGTCACTTTTTTGGCATAACCTCACTTTTCGTGTTAGGAGTTGATTTTTGACTTTCCAGTTGATTTTCTCGAAATACGTAATTTTACTTTTGGAGAAAAGCTCGCTAGTTGTTTCTTTTCCCACAAAGGCATTGATGAAAGGATTCTTCTGAAACATTTTTGTTTTTTGGAGTGTTTTTCATAAATATCTTTTAGAGATATTTTGATTAGGGTTTTTAAGAATATATCTTTTAGAAGATATTTTCATTCTGGACCAGTTTTGCGGTTATCCTTTTTTGTAGGGGCCATTGTGCAATTAACCAAAGTTGTTGCTAAATGCCTCGTTTTGAACCTAGATCCTCGTACGGGATTCATTTGCACATTTCGTCGAATTGTGTACTCTTAGAATTTCCTTCCGGTTGTTTTCCCCAACTTTAGGGTTTTCGGCCTCGGTTGTCTCTGAACTTGCTCGGGACATATCTTTCTGTTCAGAATTTAGTTTTTGACTTTATTTTTTTCTTTATTTGTTTTTTCTTATTTCAGTCCTTTTTCGTTCACGGTGTTTCACCATTTGAGCCCGTCTGCGTATATTTCACTTTTCGGGACCCGTTCGGGGCACTTTTTGAGATTTTTTATAAAGAGGGGGTTTGAAAAATTAAATCATTTCATTTCCTTTTATTCTCCACTGCTGGAAACCTGGTTCTTTAGCCATAAAGGGGCTGCCACCCTTCTTCTCTGAAATTAACCTCCTTCCCCTTTAATTTTTGCCTCGATAATTAATACTTTATTGTCGGGTTTGGTGACATCTTCATTTCCCCTCTATTAGAATCTGGTTTCAAACATTTTTCGAGTTCAGGTTTGAAGTCAAGTTTAGTTGTTGGTGTTGCCTTAAGGGGGATTGTTGCTTCCCTCGTTGTCCACGACAAAACCCCGAAATATCGTTGGATTCGGAACGGTTTCCTTTAGGTGGCTATTGAGATTTTCATCTCAAATTGAGGTAGGGGATGTTATAGGTTTATATTTTTGTTGTCTTGAATATGTTTCAAGCTTATACAACTTATATGCATACCTTTGTATTTAATCTAGAATTTAATTTAATTATTTTCTTTGTATAAAGTTTAATTTACATGGTTGTATAGTATAAAATTAACTTATGACATTCAATTAAATTAGGCCTTGATATGTTCATTAACATATATTAAATTGAAAATATTTGAATAAGTTTTGAGACTTTTATTTAATTATTATTTTTGTATGAAATTTAATTCACATGATTGTACCTAGCATGAAATTAACTTGTAATATGATTTTAAATTAGGCCTTCATATATTCATTAACATATATGAAATTAAGAATATTTAAATGAGTATTGAAAACTTTATTTAATTATTTTCTTGTATAAAATTTTAATTCACCTAGTTATATCTAGTATGGAATTAACTTGTAATATACTATTAAATTAGGATTTAGCATATTCTTTAAGATATTTTAATTTAAGAGCATTTGGATAAGTTTAAAAAATCTAGAGATTTTAATTAAATTAATTAATTAAATCTATTTAATGGTTCCATTAACGTGATTAAGTTTTTAACTTGATATTTGCAATGACTATGACTTGTTTACTAGCATGTATTAATTTGGGACCATTTGGAGTTACTTTAGAATCTAAAGATTTAATTATCATGTTTTAATTAAGTTCTATTTTGTTGTTCCAATGACCTAATTAAGTTTTTGATTTAGTATATGTAATGACCATGCTATGATCTTGACATATATGTTAATTAGAGATTAATTGAATGAGATTTGAAATCTAGAGAAATTAATTAGTTTATTTAATTAATTTCCAATTCTATTGCATTAATGATTTAATCATGTATTTGACGTTAATTATATGTTTAAATCATGATTCCAAGCTTGTATTATAAGCATGAAATTATATTTGCAATATTGGATAATATTGTTATAGCGTATAACGAATCGCACACTTAAGATTTGACATTTTATATGCTATAGTAGTTATGGAATTATAGCACGTATTGAATGTTTCCAAAATTGGTTTGTTCATGGTAGATAGTTCATTACCTAGTATATACATGATGATATATATGTTGTTGCACAATTTCTTGATTTTGGAAACTTGGGATATCAAATGTATGACTACGGTTAGGACATGGTTTTAATATGGGGATTAAGAGCTCCCCCTATGGGTGTAAGGCGCACGTAGGGTAGGTTGCCCATGGGTCAGTAGCCCAAAAGTAGCCTCGTGTCGGTTTGATCCGATCGATGTCCATATCCACCTTTGCTAATTTTGTTTTTTATTACAAGTTAATAGTACTAAATTGTTATAACTTGTTATTTTCACATTTTAGATTTCAAGTTGTTAACTTTGATAATTTATGTCTTGATGCGTTGTATTAGAAGTTCTAATTATACTAAATTATTATATTTAGTTGTTTCTGTGATACCCCTCGGATCCGAGACACGGGTTGATCAGGCCCAGGCCCAAACCCGAGGGAATATCAAACAATTAAAGTATTTTAAAACGAACACAGATGACAAAACCAATAAAGATAGAATAAAACTGAAAGAAATAATAATTGTAAAATTCTCCATGTGTAACTGAAAATTAAAACTCCAATCCTCTAAAACTTCAAAGTTACAACTTGGGAATCCACTGATGGACCCCTAACTAAAAATTCAACTGAAACTGAAACTAAAAATAGATAATACTAGAAACATCGGGGAAAGTCGTACATAATCCGATGAAAGTGAGACTGTCCTCGACAAGCACGATCAAGCTCTAAGGCTGGAACC